AGGTTTCCTACCCCACTTACTCGACTTCTTTTTTGTGGGGATACACTGATCCTGAGCTTGGAGGAAGCGGCGCTTGAATATCAGCCAGCTCTCCTGGACCCCCTTTCCTTCTAGGACCCTGACCCAGGGGACTGCTCCMAGGAGCTYCCTGAAGAGGTCRAAGTTGGCTCTCTTGAAGTCCAGGGTAGCTATTCTACTTCTTGCCCCACCTCTTCCATGCCGGATCGTGAATTCCAACATCTCGTGGTCGCTGCAGCCCAGACTGCCCCCAACCCTCACATTTCCCACTAGACCATCTCTGTTTGTTAGYATCAGGTCTAGYAGCGCCCCTCCCCTTGTTGGCTCCTCAACCACCTGTGTCAAGAAGTTATCTGCAATGTTCTGCAGGAACCTCCTGGACTGTCTGTTCCTGACATGCTCTGTGATACAGTGGCGTATAGTGTCAAAGTGAGAGTTCTGCACAGAGAGTACTAGACAATCTTTGTTTCTGTTCCTCTGAGTCTTCATCATTTTCCAATTAAGCTAAATACCTACCATAATTGGAAACAAGTGTGATTATGGGTTTGTAATCATATTTTCATTTCCTGGTCTGTCCAGTTTACGTCTGTAATATCAAAGCTTAGATACATATTTTTTGCTATTACAGTATGAAAAATTATTTTCTCATCTCAGTGCAGTAGTATCTTATCTGTTTTGTGCTATTTATTCTTAGCTATGTTGGGCAGTGCCTATTTTTTATTTGTCAATATTACCAGTATTAAATTGCTAATAGCCTGCCAATGTTAAGTACTTAGGTAATCATGATATCCTGCAAAACAGGATAGAAAACCAATGTCATAAATATAGCTGATTGCTAGATCCTTCTATTTGAATATACAGTCACAAGTGAACTATTAAGCCATGGCCATCTTGCTTTCAGTATCACCAGCTGAAGCTGACAGATCTTGGCATTACAGAGCTCTCAGACTTCAGACTGGGAGACAAATGCGAGGAGTAGGAATTCACCAGTCCTGCAGCACCTTGTTTGACAAATCGGCAGCTAATATATTTTCCTGTGTAACTTGTTTTTTTTTCYYCYTTTTTTTTATTAATATATATACTTAAAAAAATCAGAGCTTTCTGATTAATTTAAATCTTGAATTTTAAAAATTTATTTGCTATTTCAAGATCAGAAGTGTAGTCAATGCAACCTCTCTTACCCCTGTTCTGCATAGCCCATATGTAAGGGGATTTTTTGTGATCTCTGGAGCTGTTCTTGTGAGGAAGTTTTTTGGTGTGGTCTGCTGTCACCAAAGCATTTTATGCGGCTGAGGCTTCTCCCAGGGATGTTGGGGTGATTTCACATGTAAGCCATGTGTCCACCTGGTGTTTAAGAAACAAATGTGGAGACACCTCTGAGCTGGGTGAGGGTAACGGGGCTGCTGTTCCCTACAAAAGAATGGAACTAGCCTTATTTATTTAACTGGGCCAAAGAAGTTTCCCAAATGGTGCCAGACACTTCTTTCTGTCACCTGGATTGGTCAGGCTTTATTTCTGTAAGAACCAGGCCCCAAACTGAGTCTGAGAAGTTAGTGTTTTAATTGATCTTCAGTTAAAATGAGATAGAAAAGTTACTGATAATCTGTATCCTGGGAGTAAGAATCAGCCTGTGGGTGGCCATGTACTTAAACATTGTAGTGCTTCCTCTCCATATACAGTTGTTGGGTTTTTTTTGTTTGTTTGCTTGTTTTTGTGCATAGCATATATCTGAAAACAGTTAATGTGGAGATTAATAGTTAATTTCTGTTTGTCTTGATCACAGTTTTTTTTTCTTCAGTTACTGCTGGAGCATATATATATATTTATATATATTTATATATATATATATAAACCTGTGAATTCCTCATGAACTACCCTCTTTGGACTTGGCTGCCACCTCCTGTTGTGCTCAGCAGAACTGAAGCTACGAGCTGCACTGTGATAAATGATGCCTTGCCCACAACTGTAATCTCTGATACTTGTTCTCARTGGAGCTCTGTATTCCTTAGTAGATGCCAGTGTGCCTGGCCCCATCCTTCTGAGAGTAACGTGTCTCCTCTCCCATAGGGGATAACAGGACATGGCAGACGATTTGAAAGAGCCATTCTTTAGGAATTTCTTTGATGGAGAAAATTGTATACTACAACCTCTTCCAAATTGTAAGTGCATCTGACAGGAGAACGACTGCAGAAATAGCTGTTATCACTAAATAGCTCTTCTAGAAAAGTACCTATCGTAGTAGATGTATTCAGAGAGAAGAGGGATATCCCTTAGTGCAGGTATCTCTGGGGTGCACACGCATACACGGAAATCTAAGCAGAAAAAAAGATAGAAAACGTAATATGCAGGTAAAAGGCAAAAGTAGAGAGAATTTGAAGGACAACAGCGAACTGAACTGAAGTTTATTCTCTGATTTATGTTGTTTGAACGGCATGAAGCAGCTGGAGGGTATTCTCAGTGCAGTAATGTAGTGATTTATAAAATCACTATGGGCAACTTAGAATGCTACTGGAGATGAAACTGTCCTCAGACCAAGATCCAAGAAAAGCTGCAGTGAAAGTTTAATTTTACAAGATATTTAAATTTAATTAGCACAATTAGAGTGTCCAGAAAACTTAAATTGTTGTCATGGCAATGCGATGGAGGTGTAAAACAATAGACATATAATAAGGCAACTTAAAAATACAGGTAATTTTAGCACAGGAAACAATATTCTGTCTTATTCCTATTGAGATGAGTAGTGCACACGGGCATTATAGGGCAGGTTTAACATTGTTTGGGTGTTTAATACTGTGGAGTCCAACATTAAATATATTTAACTTGATTACAAATTTCAGAGGTACAGAATTGGTGATAGGTGCAAAGTAACTATATTTTACTTTAATTTTTAGATGCATATATTCAGAATCATTATTGTATTTAATATTCTTGGTACTAAATTATGTAAGTGCCTGTGAAATAAGATGTAAAATATATTTTGCTATTAAACATTCATGTAATATCTATAATAAGCATGACTAGTGCAGTCTAATTTTGAGTTCCTTGTAAAGTATTTGTAAGAGCWGGCAAATAGGTATCTAATAAAAGCTATTGTAACATAAAAATAATTTCTTAGATGACAAAATAGTTAAAACTTTTTTTTCTTGTATATGTATTCTTTTATTTCAAAACTTCAGTTAATTATATTTGTACTGCTGCTGCTAAGGCTGTCAGTAATAGACAGTCTCTGAATTACTGCTTGAGCAGAAATCTGCATTGTAACTTGTGTAATGGCATTCTCATTTTCTTTCCTTGCTCCCTAAAGGCAGATAAAACATTTGTATGAATCTTTTGCTTTTTGTAAGCTTGAAAGGTCTATCATTCATCTGGTCATAATAAGGTACAACAGTGTTGCAGGCAGTCGTACTGATTTTTTTTTTTTTTTTTTTAAGTTTTCAGTTGATTATTACGTAATTTTTTCATCAAATTCTTTCTTTTTCCCCATACAAGTGTACACATAAAGAATAAAACTGGACCAGTACATCCAGTTAACGGTTGAATTGCTGATTAGTCATAGACAGTTTATGTGGAGCTAAAATAAAGGATGTGTGTGAAATGCACAGCATATTCTTTTACTGGCAGGGGAGACACATTGGTCCTGCTGTTGGTTTATTTGGCTTTACACAGAAATTCTCTCTTACTAAGGTAGTATTGAGCATTATTTCTTTTGGCTGGTAAGTGAAAGGTAGTAAAAGTGAAAAATAAATAAATGAAATGAAGAAGGATTTCTTAATTTTAAAGTCTCAATGTATTCTGTCTCTAGTTGCATTTACCAGCACCTAACAGCTCATAGAGAATCTGCTGATGCCTCTGAACAGCTTGAAAATTGTACCTGTTGCCTCACTGATCGCTTCACTGGATGAAGTAGCATTGTACTTTGTCTTAGACTTAAAAATTTTCTTTTTGTTAAAATTAATACTGTAAATTAAAGTGCTGGGAGAATAAAACCTGAGAGGAGATAAGGTGAGAGATTTTATAGCTTCTATACATTTCGCTTTTCTTCAGTATCTTTTTTGTATAGAAATATACAAATATGTTGTATAGAAATATACTTTTTTGTATAGAAACATTATTTGCTTGTTTTTTGTTTGTTTGTTTCCACATAGGAATCCACTCCTCTTTCTTATCTATTGCAAATAATAGATTTTGTTAGTGGATGAAAATAATGAGTACACATAGAATAATATCATCTGGGCTGTATAAGGTTAGAATTTATGCACATTTTCCAGTTTCAGCATTGAATGAAGCATAACTCTTGTGGGATTAATAACTGCAATATCATTGGATTTTTTTTWAAAGAAAACCTAGCCTGTACCAGAATTGAGGGTATATGATTAGTTGCACTATTATTGGTACTTACAATGTAAATTCTTGAATTTTGTGATTTTTAGTCACTTGTATTTGATAGTAATTTTCAGTATTTTGAATATTGAGAAAATACCGCCAAAACTTAGAACAGGAGTACTCACTCTAAGATGTGACTTAACATGGAAATTTTATCTATTCTGTACTTTTGTTAATATGAGCTGCAGTTCAAAGAAACGTTTAACATTCATTTAATAAATTCTGCCATCTTTTTTTGCCATCTTAAAATGCGCTCATGTTTGAGAGATTCTCAGCATACCACTTGAAATAGCAGTATTTGGACATCAACTGAAAATGTAGGTGAAGTGCCTTATGAGGGAGGAACGTGCATCATTCTTTGTTTAACAACTTGCTTCAACAGAGTTTATTTTTTGGGGGTACATTTGTATGAGAACTTTTTTTAAATTTTCATATGCTCAACAGATTCTGAAGGAAGTGGTCACGGGAGCGAAGATGCTTCAAAGGACAGTGGTGAAGGTTCCTGTACTGAATCAGAAGAAAATATCTTGGAGGAGGAACCAGCTGAGGAGAAAGCAGAAGAGCAACAGCTAAAATGTTCCACTGAAGAAGAGGTGCCAACAGCAAACAAGGAGGTAATTAAAACTGAAAAGAAGGATCAGGAAGAAGAAGAAGAAAAGCCAAAAAAGAAGAAGGAGAAAGAGAAAGCGGTTGAACCTGATGTTGTGGCTGATGAGCAAACAAGTGAACCCAAAAAATGGAATTTGCGCAGGAACCGCCCTTTGCTGGATTTTGTATCAATGGAGGAACTGAACGATATGGATGACTATGACAGTGAAGATGATAATGACTGGCGACCTACTGCTGAGAAAAGAAAAGGGAAAAATGCCCTGCGGAAAGAGGGAAGCGATGGAGATAATGAGGATGATGAAGATGATGGGAGTGGAAGCGATGAGGATGACAATGATGAAGAAGGCAATGAAGAAGATAATAGCAGCACAGCTAGTGATGGAGGATCGAAGAAGAAGAAGAGTAAAGTTCTTAACAGGAATAATGCAGATGATGAAGAACTGACAAATGATAGCCTGGCTCTTTCACAAAGCAAGAGTAATGAGGTAGTGCAACCAACTTTCTATAATATGTCTGTTGAGAAATGGAAACTACTCTCCAGTGCTATTCTGTTAATTTGAAAAGCTAAGCTGATTGACTGGAATTCTGTTTACAGGATTTTGAGGAATAAACGAAGCAGCAAATTGGGCTAAGTAGGCACTGCATGTTAAATAAACTTGCTTGGACCATTTTGCCAATCTGATGCCACTAAAGTCAACTGAGACTCTTGTCTTTAGTGGGGTTTGGATTAGTTCTAATGCAAATAGGAGGTCCACTATGCAAATTAACATGTGTCAGTGAGAGGGTTTGGTCTGTTTTAGCCTAAATGATCCCTGTGCTTAATGATAAAAGAGTTAGGGAAGTCTATGTATGAGATGTTTGTAAAAAACTCTGAAATCATAGGTTATYCTTTATCCTAGCACTTGTTTGCAGCTAACTCAAAGACTGGATACTAACTTCCTGGTAGAAGAATTCTAAATAAAGACATATCACCCTCTGGATTAGGACCGACTAGGATGATCAYGATAATTTGTGTTGGTTTTGCTTACAATGCACACAAACACAGTAACTTCTTGCAGTACCAAAATGCATTTGTGGGCTATTATTATTATTATTAGGTTAAATAATTTCTAATTGCACAACGTAAAGATGATATGTTAAGTGCCTGGTATATATTTTTTAATGCACAATTGCTTTTGCCTTTAGGGTTTTTTGTGGAAAAAAAGATACTAGCTTGTTAGAATGGTTGTATCCATTCGTTATGTATCATTGTCACAACATTTTGAACAGGGTAAATATCATTGCTGTAAAATTTACCCTACATTTTCAGGAAATAATTGAAACATGAACGTAAGATTTAGGTTTCAATAAGTGTTACTAAAATGATTCTATTTAAAGTTCTCCTGTTTCCATTTCACCTTTATTTTAATGTGTAAAGTAGCAAGGAACAGAACAGGATATTTGGAAGAATCAAAGGTCGGTGTATATTGCATATTTTATATATGTTTTTATATATATATATATAAAATATGCAATTATGTATGCACATATATGTATCAAATTTTATATTCATATATAAATGCAAATATAAGCAGTACAGCTTTCATTACTAATGATTGTGATTAAGAAAAAAACGTGTAATTCTGCATGTTTTTACTTTTATGTTGGCACCTAATGTTTTTATATTAGTGTGGAGTTGATATTTCCTTCCTGGATGATTGCATAAATATCACTTCGATGGGGACCCAGACGGTATTTTAACATCACTTGTCATCTGCAGGCTACAGCAGCTAAATGTTGCTCTGCTGTCATGCAACTGGCTTGGCTGTAGCCTGCAGAACAGATTTCCTCTTCAGGGCCTCTTTGTAAGGGAGCAAATCGTATGTTCTCATCCTGGTCAGTCTTTTCTCTTTTCCCTATTTCATTGTCTAGCTCTGAAATGCCAGCGCCTTCGCTGGCATTTTTGGGGCTCAGGAGCTGAAAGAGCTCTGTGGATYTTTGTTCTCAAACTTTTTCTTTTTTCCTTCTAATTTGTTTCCCATCTCAGGAAGGGAGATGCCAGCCTTGGTTATATTCTTGAATATGTACCTAATTTCCACTGGCTTGTAAAATTAAGTCTGTTTCAGCAGACCAATTCATGCATAGTTACTGCAGGGAAAAAATATTCAGGTAATTAACTCTGAACGGGAAGTGGTGGTGTTAGCYCGTATTCTTGCATCCCTTTTTCTCCACTCCATTTTTTTTTGCTCCGCTTTTGTTTAATTACCCATGTTACAAAACAATATTTTTAAGTCTGCATTCACTGTACTTTAACTGTACTCTAATGTACTGTGTGCTTTTCTAATATATCAAGCACAAAACAGGCAATCTTGCACTTCAGTGTCAAGCACCGTTAGTACGTAAATGGTGTTTTTCTATTTTTAGAATTACTAGCACTTTTAAAAAATTTTTATTTAATTTTGCGGGGCCTTAAAATACCAGAAACTGCTGTTACATAGTGATTCAGATGGAGAACCCTCTTCTTACTCACCTCAAGCCCCAGGGGAGTTCAGGTGTTGGCAGCATCTTTTGTCTCTGTATAATCGCTCCTGTGTGTTGGACCAGCAGGGACATCTTTTGGGCTAATGCTACCCAGGTGCTTCCATGGAGTGAGTGGGCAGCAGCAGATGCAATCTAGATCACTCCAGGTCTGTGTAAGAAAGAAGGTTTTTCTGCTGTTCTCTGTCTTAATACTTATACTTAAGTACTTATAGGTCTTAAGTTGTCTTTGAGCAGGTAAACTGTAATGGTCATGGATCCTAACAGGTCAAAATTTGGTGCACTTCCATCACTGGTTGATTCTTTTGTTTTACTTAACTTCGTGTATATTATTGACACATAAACAGATAATGTAATTTCAGTGTTGATCTTCATTTAAAGTAACAGGTTTTATATATATTTTTTCTCCTAGTTATAAGAATGTGGGTTTGTATTAATAGAGATAGCAAATTTGTTTTAAATTTGCCCTAGTGAAGCAAAGTAACAGTAGAAGTTTTTATCAGAAAAAAGAGGCTTTTTACTAGGACTCTGAATTGTATGACATCTGATGGGCAGCTGATCAGCCAACATTACTGAATGCCTATGAATGTTTTTCTGTCTGTGATGTGACTGGTAAGCTAAGTGTGTATATTTTGAGTAATAACAGGAGACATTTCTGAAAAAGAATCCAAGTTGTTTGCTTGTCACACAGTATTTGTAAACTTGTACTAAGAGGAGACTATTGGAAGAAATGTTCAAAAGACACAAAAGGTTTTATGCAGCACAAAAAGACTTCTTTCTAAAATGAAGTCTTTCAACAATGAGGTTTTTTTTTTTKGGGGTGTCTTTGTGGATACGTTCTGTATCAGACTGAAAGGCTATTTTAAGTGATAATCTGTAGAGAATGGAGAACATTCAGAGTAAGAATTTAAGATCTTTAAGAGTGAATACCAACTTCTGTTAGCATTCCTGGTCATTTTTATCTGCCAGTGCTATGTGGGCCAATAGTGCAGCTAAGTCATAAATAGGAGAGTAGAAAGGGAAAAAATGTTTGAAGGGGAAATCTGAAGGGAAAATACTGAAGTATGTGAAACTTGTTCTTGTGAAAATAATTTGCCATCTTTTTTTCCTGCAAAATTGAGCAGAGACTTTTTTTCTTGTTTAAGTAAAACTGAGACTGCTATCGTAATCTACATCTTTATTTTTTGATTTTTTGATGTTAGGACTCATTGATCCTTGAGAAGTCTCAGAACTGGAGTTCCCAGAAGATGGACCATATTCTGATTTGTTGCGTTTGTCTTGGAGATAATAGTGAAGATGCTGATGAGATAATCCAGTGTGACAACTGTGGGATAACAGTACACGAAGGTAACACAGTCCATATATTATTTCTGTGGAAGGAGAACATTTGCTTTGGTTGTATTTTGCTTCCTTGAACAAATGAATGAGACATTTAAAATTGGCTGTGTAGGCTTTTGTTTTGTTTTTAATACCTCATGAATTCTTCTAGCAGTGAAACATGAATCTTTCACTTTAGCAAAGCAAGTGTGGGGCACGTTTACAGACACTTTCAGACTAAGTCCCGGGTTGCAAATCCAAGAACTAAGGACTGTGTTGTCAGAGTTCTGGAAGATCATATTAAATACGTTTAATATCTTGTTTTAAAAAGCAAAATGAATTGCACAGTTAGAATTTAAGCTTTTGACAACAGAAAGCCTTTATCAAAAAAAGTTCTTTTGACTGTATATATTTGTTACTGCAGGAGAAAAAGGGATCATCTGAGGCTACTACTACTACATGTAACAACAAGTAATCTTGAACTTTCTTATAGTTTTGACAGTTTGAAAGGAGGAGATCGTAAAGTAAAAAACTTTCAAATTTTTAGTTTACTAATTGCTGGAAATCTTATTTTATCAATGTAGAAAGCCTTTTATTAGGCAAAGGAGGAGAAGGAGTCATTATGAAACTAGCACAATGCGCTTGTTGGCTTTGTTGGTTTCAGCATAAAATGAAGAAGCTCATTTTTTTTCTGTACATAGTGAAATAGTAGCTTGTTGCTATAATTGCATGTGTTTTGTATATGCTAGCTGATAAGCAAGTTAAAAAATACTCTGAAAAGAGAAGTATGAACCTCTTTTGATAATGTGATTTTCCCAGTTATGAAGGAATATTTCCTGAATCATAAAATCATTATGTTTGGAAAAGAYCTTTGAGATCATTGAGTCCAACTATAAATAATAAAATTCCATATGCTCATCTCAGAATTATTTATTAACATCCTTACATAAAAGGTGAAGCTGTAGTGCTTATTTCATATTCTCTTGAGGATGGAAAATAGATACTAACATAAAGGGTCGTGTATGTTCTGGTACTTAAAGAAGTCCTTAAAAATATGCTCTTGCTAATTAGGTTTCTTTTGTATAGCCTTTTACAGCTTTTCTTTGTTTAGCTAACCTTTGCAGCCTTTCATTCATTCATTTAAAAAAAAAAAGGCATTAAAGGCATTTATTTAATTCTTCCTCTGTCAAAATATGTTATGGAGTTTTTCCAGAGAATAGACATTTGGGTTTTTTTCAGATAGGAAGTGGAACCTGCTTTTGTTAATCCCCTACTGCAGTTCTGCCTTTGATCCCAGACGGAAAGCGCTTTCCAAACAGTGTTGTTCTTGCTGTGAGCTGCAGCGTAGGCCTTTCCTCAACCCCTGTTAGTAATAGGACAGTTGAAGACCAGCCTCTGGAACCGAGGGTGGAATTCAGCTGCAGGTTCAGGTGTTTAGTATTGTGTCAGCATCTACCCTACAAGTCCGAAGTCTTTTGGAGAGTTAATCAATACAATTCATGGAGCTTAAAAGAGCTACTCTGCTGGTCACACACCTGATTTATGAAGAGGCAACTGGCTGTCTGGATGCCGTTAGCTTGGTTACATCTTTTTTGCCTATGAAGAGGAATCTCTAAAATCCTCTGTAATGTGTGTTTAATGAYAGTCTGGTTAGGCATGATGGGTTTACATTCAGGTGCAGAATTAAACTGTTAGAAAAGAAAATATTCTCTTTGCTTTTTTAGGATAAAACGATGACAAACTTCTTGCTTGTTCCAGAGAGGTGATTTAAAAGTGAAGAAAAAAAAAAAAAAGTGTCACTTTATTTTCAGTTTGCTAAACTTTTCTCTCTTCAAAAGTTGCCTTTCTGTCACTGAAAGGTCACTTGAATTTTGATAGCTAAAAGTTTATCTGGAAGTCTCATCATTCTTTAAAAATAGCTCTCATTGGCAGATTCCTTAGTCTCATTGATGCAAAGAATATAGCTTATGAACAGCTTTTGTTGTTATTGCAACAAAAATGAAATAGATTAATTCAGGGGTTTAAATTGCTAGCTTGTTTTGGTAAATTTAACAGTCCAAAAAGCTGAAGAACTAAGGGTTTCATTTGTAAATAAAAGTTCAATTGTCCATGATTTATGTTAATAATGATATCTGACCAGTAACATTTAAAGCATTTGTGAAATCTTGTTTGTAGAAGTATTAACATCTGAGTTTACTTAACAGCTTGTCTGCTTTGAAGTTTAAGCTTGTTTCTGTGATTTTATGTTATCATTAAAAAAAAAAGGTTCATAGTTTTGGGAAAATACCTTCTTTATTAAATTTGTAACAGTACAATTATTTTTCGGAGTGCTTGCTGCTTCTATGTGGAAGTAAAACTCATTTCTTTTTGTAAAGATCTTAGGCATTAATCTGTCATTCTGGATAAGCRTTTCTGTGGTAAGAGCTTGTAATAGCAGGGCACCCCCAACGGTGGTGTCAGTTTTTCTGACATGCTGGTTGCAGCGTGCCTGCAGAAAATGTCTGGTGCGAACCGTAGCACGGGAAGCGACCGTAGGTAGTGTGCTGCCAGCTCTGGCTGTTGGGGCAGCTGCTGGGAATTAAATTAGAATTAGAACTACATTTTAGATTTTCCCAGTTGTTTTTTCTTCAATCTCCTGTATTCGTTTCTTGCTTTGCTGTGGTTTTTATGGGAAGGAATGAAATTCCCGTGCTAAAAACAGCAGTGTACTCTCCAAATGCTTTAAAACAGTGTAATAGAACATGAGTTTTTTGCATTTTAATTTTGCAACTTCTCTGCTCTGCTTCTGTTTAATATACAAATTAATTTTGTAAATCATGTATTTTGCTAATCTGCACTGTATAAAGCAAAAATGTATTTATTCTAAGCATTTGACCTAATTAAAGATTAATATATCTTATTTTAAATGCTGTCATCTCACAGCATTTCTTTTTACAGATCTGCTGTTTGTATTTTCATGATTTTTGTGATGATATTTCAGAATATATGTAGATATGGTTAGCATATGCAGATACTATGTTTGACTTGCAAAAGATTCTTTTTCCAGGGAGAGGGAGGAAAAAGTACAGTGAAGGCAAGAATGAGATTTTTCTTCTCATCTCGTTCAGTGGTATAATCTTCAGAATAGCTGCTTTAAAGATAGCATCTTTAAATATTTGCAATCTATTTTTAATGACAATTGCATAAAAATAAGCTGTTGATAGAGAACAATGACTTTAAAATCAGGGAATGAAGGTTAGTATCCTGTGCAAAATTAAATACATGCAATGGACAGTTGTCATTGTAATTATGTAAATGCGTTGTGAGAAAGAATAAATATTTAACTTCTTGAATTTCGTGTACTTAAATGCCTGGGCTAACACTAGAATAATATAATCATTTAAGGTAAGAGTTGAGGTATTTAAGCATATGGCAAACATGGCATTGTGATATAGTTATTTAAGAATATAGGATCAGAATATAGGACAAACATATGGATTTAATGAATAGTGTAATGGAAAAGAGGCTTTCGGGGATATTCTGAGGATCCAAAATTCAGACTTTGATAAATATTAAGGAAAGACAGCATAGATCTCAAGCAAAGAGAAGCTGTTTTTCCTCAACAAGATTTTAAATCGAAGCGGTAGGTTATGACTTGATGATGAAGACTGGCATGCCAGTGACTTCATAAGATGAAATACCTCTTAAGAGCTGACATGTAACATCAGCTATGAGACGTGCAGCTCTCATACACAGTTGTGGTTTTGGTCCCTACATAATCAGCTCATCTGAACAACTGTGATATTTTGAGAGAGAATCAGGAAGATTGCCTCCTGCTATTGCTTGGAGGATGCGCTTGCAGGGAATTTTGCAAGGGAACATTGTTCCAAAATCCTGTATTCCCAACAGTTCATATAGGAAAGTCTGACAAAATAACTTTAACCTGCTCAGCAGGTTAATTGTTTAATACCACGGTAGATTGGCTTTATCAAGCAGCAGTTCTGTCTGTATGTCTTATGCATTTTTAAAGAGTTGTAAAACTAATGCTTTTTAAATTTTGATTAATTAAATGTTGAAAAAGAAAGTAGACAGTAATAAGGTGAACCTGTGTTGTTCTCAACTCAGCTTTAAGAATCTGAAAATTAAGTATTTAAGGAGAGAATGGTCTGCTATAGATAAAAGAATATTACTTTGGTAACAGTTTGAAAGTGTGGCTGGCTTTAAAGACTTTGAACTCTGGCCTCTATAATGTAAGTTTTCAAACAGATTTAGACAAAAGAGCATTTAGTATTATTATTAAATTCTTTTTGTCCTTTAGATTTGCTTTTAACACATAAAAATTCAATTATGATCCTGCAGTGGAGAACTTTCCCTCACCGCCTGTTTCAGATTATGTACGGAAATGCTAGTTCTTCAAGCACTTAATAGATGATCAGCATTCCTCAGCTTTGCAAAGGTTTTTAATTATTAACATTGTAAATCCGAAGAAGTAAATTGTAATTTCTTGAGGTTTTGCGCTGTAGGGTTCCACAAGGTATTGAAACAGTGCTGAGCAGCTTTTGGGCTGCAGAGTTAGTATTTCTCTTTTTAGCSCAGTAAATACAGTAATATTTATTTATAAAAATGTAATAACTGATAAAGGAGACTACAATGCTTGTTTTGGAATAACTACTACCAATGATTGAAAAATGCAGTTTGAGACTGCACAGACACTTTAGCCTGTCATCCCAGATGAATGATCTTTGCTTTTAAGTGTTTCAAATGCATTTATTTTGATGAGAAACTCCCAGTTTTCATCAAAACAGATATATTTCCACAATGGAGTTTTATTCCAAAGTCCTACTTGGAGAGGGGGAAAAAAGAGTGATTTGGTTTTTCTTGTATTTTTTTTTTTAATGAACATCACAACTGTTTAAGTCTACACATGTGGCATCTTAAAGTCAAACGACATCATGTTATCCGTTATTCTTTAAATGAGGACAAATGTATTTTGTCAWCTGTTAATTTTTGTTCCAATTTATTTATTATAATAAATAAATGATTTTTGTAATCATGAATTCTTTGTTCTTTAAAAATCGAACCAATGATAATTCTTTGCTTCTCTCCATATTTTGCTTCTATTATTTTGCAAGTAATTTTCACTACCACTTTTCTTAAGGAATTTAATAGCTAGCATGTCTATCAACTTATTACATCACTTGGTAAAATATATTTTTAAAACTACTTTGTATATGCAGCTGTTCAGGAGATTTGTATTGTCCAAATGGGTATTAGATCAATGGAATCTGATCTTTCCTTTATCTGTTATCACTTCACCCAAAAGTCACAGATACTCCTTCATAGCAAACAAGAGGAAGAGTTGGACTGAAACAGTTGCATATGCTCAACAAAAAATGCAGCTCAACAAATGGGACAAATGAGACTCGTTTTTTCTTTTTGTTAAGTATTATCAAGTCAAATTTGAACTAATGCTGTTGGACTTCATGTTTTGAGTAGAAATTATTTATAGTGTTTTATCTAACTACCTATAAGAACTCCTATTAATAAAGTAGAGCTCCACTATTTTGTATACATTAGTGCCAACTTCTCTTGGAAAACAAACTCGCCAGCCATGTTACAAATGGTTCAGAATTATTCTGGAATATATTCAGGCTGATTCATGCTAGTAATCTGACAAAAAATAATTTAAAAAGCATGTTCTGTGAAACATTGCACACAGACATTTTCTCCTTCTGCCTGAAGATTATGATCTGATGTCCTTATAAGTACATCAGTTATAACAACAAGGTGGCATTCAATAGTAGCTTTTTGTTTATGTGACTTCATAGCAAAGAACGGTTTATAGGCACAGAATAATAAGCCCTGTGGAACAGTCTTCTTTTATATATTTGGCAGCACGTGGAAGGCAATGGCTGGATTCCTRTGGGCTGGTTTTCCACTCTGCTCTGAACAAGATTCTTCTGATGTGTTTACCAGSAGTGAGAATCATAACCCAGTGCATTTAATAGTATGGACAGAAAAAAAAGAGYGGCAATTCCTTGTGTCTGTTACTTATCTTAATTTTTTTAAAGCTATTCTTAAGACTTTTGTGTATATTAGGAAAATATATATTTCATATTATATATAGATATAAAATTATATATTTTCTGTATTATAAACCCTGACAAGTTTGTTTTTATAGTGCATGACAGAATGACTAAAATTCTACTGTTACAGAAAGAATGTTTGATACCAGCCCACATGAAATGAGGGAAATAATTACTACAGATATGTATCTGTAATTTTCTGGAAAGCAGGTAACCTATTTATAGGTAAATGACTGATAAGTGCAATTGGACAAGTATTTCAGAATACACTTAAGAGTGGGGAGTCACCATTCTTAATTCAGCAGACTGATGGCAGTTAAGTTAGGAAAACACATCTAATACTATTTGATTATTCAAGATGCATTAGTGTTTGAAAGAAACTGATTTTATTTTGCCATATGGATTGATGACAGTATTACTGTTCCAACAATGTTAGGTAATTTGTAATAACTGCATTTAGGAAAATCTTAGTATGTTAAGGATAGTCTGTAGGCATTTTAAAAAGCTTAATTATTCATCAGTTCTAAAAGATTAATGGGCTGCGTGCTTATACATTAATGTAGTTACTTAAAATTAACTCTACTGGCATTTATTCAAAGTCATGTTGGAACTTAAACAATGAATTTTTGAAATGCTCTTTAAAATAGTACCGTAGTATGAAAAAAAGGGTGATAGCTCAATGTAGCAGCTATATCATATTTTATATGTATAATGAAGCTGATCGTGAATGCCCTTGTGTGCTTTATTTGTCCTTGCTAGAATACTTTCCTTATGAAAAGAAACATGTTTTAATCCCTATTGATGAACTGCATGCTGTAATGGCAGCGTATATTTAAAAAAAAAAAAAAATCCCACAGTGATACTACTTATTTCCTGAATTTGCTTTTAGTCTATTATGCAAAGCTGTTTCTATCATAAGGGGAGTTAGAGCGTTAGTGCTATTTTATTCCAGTCATTGAGTAATGAACCAAACAAAGATATGCTATTATTTAATTGCACAATTCAATAATTTAACTGCTCTACAAGCAAAAAAAAAAAAAAAAAAAAAAAAAAAATTGACTTAATTATTGTATTTGAAAAATATGTGAATACAGCCTTTAAGTAAAAGTCTATGATGTTTGTCTTCTTTATCTTTGAAATCATATTTCCTCCTACTTAGAAAAAGATAAATGTTACACATAAGAAATGTAGTTTTATAGTGCAAAGTCTGAATGTTTTTCCTTTTTCATTTACAGTAGTAATTATCGTGTTCTTGTGTAAAATTCAAGTAACAGGCTTCTAAATCACTTTAAAAATAGTATTTCCTTAAGTTTCTAGTGCGTGTCTAAGCATGTCATAAAGAATGCATTGAATATGCCAAAAAGAGAAGCTGAAAATAAGAATTATGCTGAAATATATTGTTTTGAAGGAAAGCGCTGTCCAAAACACTACCACCCTAACTCAACAATGCCAACTGTACTTTAGACTCCCAGATCTGAAATTATAGTAGCCCTTTACAGATCAGCCCTATGACTGCTGAAGCCTGTAAATAGTTTTCTTTATCTGAATATTCTCTGTATAGCTGAGCTGCATGGTCAGTGCAATGCAAGTTCCTTCTAAAGCTACCTGTCTCTAGGAAAGTGGAATGAATGGACTGGCTCCTGCCAGCATGATCACCTGTCACAAAAATAACAGATATTTGTTTTCAGAGTGGGGAGAAGGAGAAAGAGACAATAGAAAAGAAAATAGAGAGTTTGAGCTATGTTTTCTTTACAGTTTTTCAGATTGTCAGTTATTTGTAATCTTAACACTAAATCAGATCTTATTATGAGGAGGATATTAACACAGTAGAGGTGGCTATTATAAACTAAATCAACRAATGACTTTTGATTGTGTGTATGAATTAGTTCTGCACCATGGGTAAAAAATGATTTTGTTATAGGTTCAAGGTTCTTACCTTTGTGACAATGGATGTGGCAATTTATAATTCTGTCATAATTTTAAAGACTGATTTGTTGTGGCAGCCCTGTTAGTGACTTACAGAAATAAGACATAGCTTTAGCTTAATTTTAATTCTAAATAGCAGTTTAGACTATTTTTACGTATTTCGAGGAAGCTGTTTTGATTTTATGTGTTTATTTTACCTCAAAAAATATTTGATATGAATGCCCATATTTGTGGACTAAGATATTAATGTTATTTGCCAGTTGATGCAAGATTGAATTAAAAAATAATTGTGTTTGTGTCTTAAATTTGGCACATGGAAAAATATGTCATATAATACATATTTCAACAATGATATTTCCTTCCTTTTTTATTTTTAATATACACAGGCTGCTACGGTGTTGATGGAGAGAGTGATTCTATTATGAGCTCAGCTTCAGAAAATTCCACTGAACCCTGGTTCTGCGACGCATGCAAATGTGGTGTCACACCTAGCTGTGAACTGTGTCCTAACCAGGATGGCATCTTCAAGGAGACAGATGCAGGCAGGTAAGATTAAAGAAGTGGTCATTTGGATTTGATTTCATCTTCTATTTAAAACATAAAAAAAAAAAAATTSGTTTTGTTCCTAACCTGTTCCTCTTCTCTAGAGGAGATTGTCAATAAATAATTATTTTTGTTGATAGTCTCTTCCTCTTATCTCAGTTTTTAGTTATTTGTGTGTATCTTGTGCATCTAATTTTTTTTGTACTCCTAATATTCTTCATATCCATTATAATATTAGAAAGGTATTGATTTAATTTGTATTTGAGCATGAATATTTATGGACCTATGAGCAAAGCAGCTACCTAAGATCAAAGATCCTGRTTTCAGGGAATGATAAGTCCCACTCCTCACTGTGAAGACACCACTTGTCCTTTTGGATATGCTTGAAGACTTTTTTTGTTTACCTTAATTATTTGTGTATGCATTTTCTTTAAAAATGCAGTGCACTACAAAGGTGATAGGGTCTTGAGAAAGAGACATCTTTTTTATTTTGTTTGTGTCAGGAATGTCATTTGTATCTAAATAAAAAGGTTTCCTGTGTGAAAGGAACTAATATCCTGTAAATTCCTGCTCAGGATTCAGATATTCGGAAGGATAATGTCAAGAAAGACCTCTGCCACTTAACCAGTGTCTTAAACCCCTGATATCAGGGATCAGGTTTTATAAAACTAAGAAGACGTGTGCGGTTGTTTTGGGTTTATTCTAGCTTAGAGACACTCCTTTTTCTCCATTGAAGTTTTATTCTTGCATATGAACAGAGACTGTATTCCAGAAAAAAATGTTAGACACCAAGTGATACATCTCATGCTTTTTCTCTTCTATTTACTTATTTCTCAATGGGAATGACAGCCAGTAATTTAACTACCAACTAGGGGCAGAGTCATGATGGTGAACTCTTAGGCACACTTGATAACCTTTATAATGTTTCTGTGTGCTTTGTAAACTGCAGCCCAGTTCAGTTCTTTTCTTGAAATGCCATCACAGAGCATCTGCTCAATAGGAGAATCCTTTAACTCGCTGTTGCCCCACATCCCTGTGCCCCTTTRTGAGGATATAATGAGAAATAATTTCTGTTTCTGCATGAAAGGTGAATCATTGGAATAATGAGGTGTTTAATTTCTCAACAGTTGCCTTTTCATATTAGATTCTCAGTTTCACAAACAAAAGTGTGAATTTATGAAATTTTATTTCTCAAATGCTGTTATCTTAGAATATGAATTCTTGTCCTTGTTTCGATACAGAGTTTTTCTTCTTCTGTAATCAACATCTGTCATCATTGCTGCAAGCTAAATGGATGGTAAAGTAACAAGGAAGATTATTCTTCTTTGATTACCCAATTTGTCTTAATTACAAGGTTCTAAACATGTGCAGCTAAACAAATGAGCAGGAAAATATTTAGAACTGGCATTAAAAGCAGCTGAAATTGGTTCAGCTGTGAACTTGACTGACTTCTGTATGTTTTTTAATAAAGATTCAGGTCAAGTTCGCATATAGGTGGCTAAAGAAATGAGACTCTTGGGTGCCAATCACGCTGAAATGGCAGTTTAAATCTGTAATACTGTAATACTTGGGTGACATGTACTAAAACATTCTGAGAAGGTCAGTGCGAAGCAAGCAGCCAGCTGTTGGGTTTATCATAGATAAACTCCTACAGAGTGCAGCAGCATTTAATACACCAGTGGAGCATGAAAAAACTGTGCAAATTAAATTGAGAAGCAGCTGCTTGTAGAAGATGCATATCTTTATATTGAACTCTAGAGGGGACATTTAGGAGGTTATATTAAGACTTACTATCAAAAATCTCTAAATGAAACCTTGGATTTTTTAAAAATAGTAATTTTGAAGATGTGTAGCTGTCTTCCATTTATACCAATTTGTTCTGTATGATACATCTCAAATCGGTGATAGCTTATAGAAGGGAAGCCCCACAGAATTCAGAGTAGTCTTTGTTACAATTAAGTAGCTGCCTGATCTSTAGGTTAAGGGCCTTATTCAGGATGTGATGTTTTGCTTACAAGAGCAGAACAGTTGTTCTCTGGCAACTATCATGCTGCCTTTGTGTGCCATGCTATTTAAAGAGAATGTTGTACCTCCTCTAGGTAAGATGCAGCTTGTAAATGTATATATTTGTATACAGGTATATTGCAAGTAAAAGAAAGTATTTGGAGTTTTTTTCCACAGTTTTTAGTTTTTATGCTTTAATGTGGATGCATCATTTAACATCTCAAGCCTGTGTGATTTGATAGTAGCATAAAAGAAAATTTTGATTTTCAAATATCATGTGAAAACAGGACTGTCAGTTATAAGATTATGAATCAATTGTTGGGTTTTGTTAGACTTACTGGGCAAATCCTTGTGGAGTGAAGTAAATTAATAGTTTCAAGGTAGTTTCTAGTTGTTACATTATTGGATTTTGTTTTTTTTTTTTGCTGTTAGGCTGTCATGGAATATTTTTTGGGGAAATGATCAGTAGAGCTTGTCCACCTACTTTGTGCAAATCATTGTTTTCATTGAATTGTAATGAAGACTTAAATGCAACTTAAATGCACTGTATTTTTGAGTTTCCTAACAGACCTTTCATGTTTTGTTTTTCTAGAATTTGCGTATGGGTGTATGAGTTATGTATGATTATCCCATTTATTTAATTCTTAATCTGATAAATTCCAGAACTTTAGCTCAGCACATGTAGACAGCCCACTGATGACAACCATAACACTTGGAGTGCAGCTGGAACACAGGATTTGAGTTTGCTTTGGTCCCAGTTGATTTTCTTGTTGTTCCCACATGGAATAAAAGAAAGGGAAAGGAGACAAGAGGAGAAACAGGCAGTGGAAGGGAATGGAAGAAAGGCGTAGAGGAAGAGTGCTGGAGGTGGTAATAAGTCTGTGTTGAACCTTTGGCATTTGAAGAGCTGTCATATGCAATTACTAGATACTGAGGTCCAGATTTGCACCCTCTCATTTTAGGCCCTTAAGTGCTGAAGGTTTCAATCTTTCACCCTGCAGTTTGTGTATGGCCAATGAATAACAGCATGGCTAAGTAACAGTCTGTTCATTTGATAGCTTCAAACAGGCATTTCTGTAATGCAATTCAAATGGGCAAATGGGCTTATATCTAAACACGTCTCCTGTCCATGTTCTCCATGCATGCATCTGCATGCCCTTCTCCATGCCCTGGCCCCCCATGTAATGGAAATATCAAATTCATATTTCAGGTACATGCACAGCRGTGTGGAACTCCACCTAAGAGCCATCGGAGCAGAAGGGCAGTGCTAAACAAGGCCTAGGGAATCCCTCCTAAGAACCCTGGCAGCAGAAGGGCAGTGCTAGACAAGGCCTAGAGAGAGATGCAGACAGGCAAAACAATCCAGGTTGCTTTGAAAGCCATACTCAAGCTTTCAGCTGTGAGCTCAATCCAAATTTGACTTCTCTTCCTTCTTCTGGCATACTTTCCTTTAGATAGATTTGTTAGAGCATCAGTAATATTTATAAAGCACTTGGAAATCTGCAAATGGTGAGTATGATACAGGAACAGAAAGGTAATAACCTTATTTTTATCTGCTGTTTTAGGTGGGTCCATATTGTTTGTGCCCTCTATGTTCCAGGAGTAGCATTTGGAGATATTGACAAGTTACGGCCAGTAACACTCACAGAAATGAATTATTCAAAGTACGGTGCCAAGGTAAGTTTAGAAGACATTTGTTGCCTACCAGTAGTTTTATTTTGTGTTTTTACAAATGGTTAATATATAAACCCTTCAGGCCTTATGTATTTTGTTTGTAGCAAATGAAGTGGGGTTTGGGACTGTAAATAAGATAAAGTTTGTTCATGTTTGTTACACCTTTGTTCTTCCTTCCCTCTTTCTTTACATTTTCCTCTATACTATACCCAAATTCCATAATCACTGCCACTGTGTTATTGTTGTCTCTTCCTACATTTCCCTTTTTTTCTATGCTCTCTTTCTGCCCTCTCTCTGTTGATCAGTGACAAATTTACAAAAGTGGGTGGGAAGAGGCTGTATGACATATGTGGCAGAGAAGTGGAAAGTGAGGTGTTTTAGGACAGACAGATGGTCACTCAGTAGGATTTTTTTTAGGTTCTCTATAATCATAAGCTAACAATGAGTATAAAAGATTTGCAGCAAAGCAATATTAAAAGAAAAATACTGCAGCATGGGGATCCTCAACTTGAACCGTGTTCAGTAATTGCTATCTTACACAACTAAGTGTTGCTGTAGGTATTGAGACAGTGTGGAGAAGTCATATCCATCACACTTATGTGAGGAAAGACTGATACTCCTCTAATACTTAATTTACGTATCATCAAAATCTTTGCTAGTTTATCAAGTTGAATGCTAAATTATTTCATACACAATTTGGAATAGTGAGTGTGCAACATATCTGTATCAGCAGCAACATATCTGTATCAGCAGCATGTCTATGTGGGCTACCATTGTTTAGGAATATTTAAGAGCAAGTTATCCTAAAAATCATTGTAGTCAATACATCATGGATTTTTGCTTTTATTAGCCTGTTATATAGGAGTAGGGCTAAGAATTCAGGCACATTTTATTACACTAAAATGAGAGAAATGAATAGTAGACTACCCAAATGAGGAAATATTATTCTAGCAGAGCTGTAACCAAGCCTTGTATGCAAGGTTTGTAGTGCATCCAGTGTATAAGTTATATCTTAACCTAGCTAAATTTTCCCCAGAACAGCAATTTAAGGCAGTAGTCTTCTTCATATATTAGCTGTTTTGTCTTCTTGTTGCACAGCTAAATGGTGCCCTTTCAGAATAGTGTATGTGGTGTTCAGGGATTCTCCTGTCACTGCATTTTTTGTGCTGTCCCTTTCCATTGTTGGTTAAGCTTTTATTGTTGCATGGAGATAGAGCTGATACACAGCTCTCCCCTTAGGCAAAGACTGAGAAGTGTGTGACTACCTACATTTCGATCATCTTTATGCACTGAGCAGCAGTATAGCTTCAGAAGCCCTTATTCCTATGTGTTTTTTTTTTTTCCTGCTCACATGTTGACCACTCTGCTCTGCTAGAATAGTTGTTTGGTATGAGTTAGCAATAGTGCAATGCTGATGAGCTTATTATACTGAAAAATAAAATTACTTTTTCCAGGTCATCCAGGTCACATTAATGTCTGTCAGTTTGCTGCCTTGCGGATAACTGTACCTCCAGACATGCCTGTAGTTACACCCTTCATGATGCCTTTAAGGGAGTCACAGCCTTTTTGCCAAAATTCATGGTCCTCAAATAATTTTTTTTGTGTGTGTGTTGTCATACCTTTATTCCTCAGTCATCATTTATGAGAGTGACAGCTGTGTAATTACCTGCTTCTAAGTCATGTAGAGGACTGATTTTCCTTTTTGGTTTTGATTGTCCTCTGAGTTTTTGCTTATTTGGTGATGACTGTTGAACAACTGAACGTTTTATGAGTTCTAAACTTGTTTTATGATACTGTGCCTATATAATTAAGTATTTATAAATCACTTGGATGGTACTTAGTAATTACTCTGAAGGGGAATATGAGATATGGCACTTAGAATAAAAATTCATCTAACATTCTCCTTAGACTGTTTAAGTACTTGTCCATTGCTTCTTAAAAATGAAATCAATCTAGGGCAATGGCAGGGTGCTTTAAGTAATGACAGCTGTTAATGCACTTTTGTCTGTGAACCATACTGGAATAAACCTGATTACTTTTATATGCAAGATGTAAATTGTCAAAAGGTAGGCAAGGTGCATGCAAAGTACTAACTGTGGCATTTTCCACCCTCCTACATATAAAGGAATGCAGTTTCTGCGAAGATCCTCGTTTTGCCCGGACGGGTGTTTGCATTAGTTGTGATGCTGGGATGTGCAGAGCTTACTTCCATGTGACTTGTGCTCAGAAAGAAGGCTTGCTTTCAGAAGCAGCAGCAGAAGAGGTAGGTCTGATGGGCATGTAGAGCAGCAGAATGGAAGAATTGCAACTATAGGAGGAAGACCTAAAGTTGTGTGCTTTCTCGCTCAACAATGTTGAAGAAAGTTCTTATAAATCATTAGGAAGTTGTAGTCCAAAGTGAAGACTCTTGCCTGGGGAGGAGTCTTTGTTTTCAAATTGTTGATAAACAACCTCTACTGACCACCTGAAATGATGACTTCATAAAAGGAATGGATAAGGATAATACCAAAGTTCTGTTGGCTCTATTGATCAGTATATTAGAGAAGGCTCTATTGGCTTAATATATTTTGATCAATGCGGAGTTGAATTTTTAATGATTCTGGATTAATTCTATATTCACGTATTTCTTGACACAGTTACTTAGGTRTTTATGTAGCATGTAGTATGTAGAATAATGGTTTTTTTTCTCTCCCTCACCCAGAACTGTCTTCAGAAATAAGCYACATTTCTAATACTATTTTCTCATACATATTTTCCAGTGTTTTATTTAAATTGTGTTACAGGTATATGTCTTTCATTATGATAACATTACATTTAGGAATCAGAATGAAAAGTAGGCACTTATAAGCTACTGGTAAATTTTTAATAGATACTGTTACCAGCTTTATTCCTGTAATATGATTAAAGCAATTCGCATGAGAGGATTCTATTTCAGAAAACATTCTTCAAGTCTGAATACTTTTAGATTTCCAAACTTCATCCTGATTTTTTTTTGTTTCGTTTAAKCTCATTATGTCCGTAGGTACACAATTTAATTTCTTTATCGACTTGGAGAAACATGCGAAGAGGCTCTATGCAGCAGTATCTACACTGAAATTTCTCCCTTTTGTTTCTGGAAAAAAAAAACAGACTACTAAATGATTTCTTTTAGAGAATTCACAAAATAAACTTCTTGTGTTCAAACTTCTTGTGTGAGATTGAGAAATAGGAAATTTGCAAAGTTGTCTAAGTGTTTTTACCCCTAATAAATCATGTGTGATGTTAATTCTTCAAAAACTTAGTTGAATTTCTCCTAGGTAAATCCATTTGCAGGTCTTATCACCTTAAAATTGTCTTGAATGTTCTTAAATGCTTTTAAATGTTTTCTGCAAACAAAAATATTTTGAATTAGGGTCCTGTAGAATCTGTTTTTAGGGAGCGACTAGTATGATAGTTTTTGTTTTGTCACACATTCTGAAAAATTCAGTAAAACACATTTTATTAGTCTGTACAAATTTTATTAGATTGGTGGTGGTGYGAAGGAAAGTTTGGTAAGTTTATTATTTTATCAAGGAGACCATTTAAGTTTTACTTACTCTGAAATTTATGATGTTTCAATGGTTTTGAAAATATACTGGCAATGAAATACACTTCTCAAATGGAGAGGTAGATATTACTTACTAAGATGAATACTCTGCTTGCTTGATATACATGTGTAATAGCATGCAGACCTGATGAAGCCTCTACCTAGAAATGATTAAAGTAAGTTAAGAGATGGACTTGTATCTATTGTTGCTGTGAGAGATGGACTTGCATCTACTGTTTTTCATTAGCCTGTAAATGCCTTCTTGACGTGCCTTGATCGTGTTTGCTGGTGCAACAGATCTTTGAAAGTTTTCCGTTTCACTGTATCTGCCTTAGTGTATTGCAAAACAGTGAACTTCAGTTGTGGATTTGGCCTACCTATGTGTTTAAATCTGTACTTTTGATGTAAAAGGCTGCTAACCTCTGTGCCCTGTAACTTAGTTTTTTTTTTAAAAAAAAAAAAAGGTTAAAAAATAAAAAGTAGTAAGCAAAATTGTTAAATTTGAGTAAGCACGTAGGTTGCTGGCTAATATTTGGAGGAGAGAGGGGAAGGTCGGTTGATCTGACTCTCTCTGTATTTTTTTTTTTTTTTTTTTTTTCCTCTCCCCATAATTTATTAAAGAATTATTTAGGGTCACATAATGAAGAAGATTGAAAAAGACTTTACATGGAATAAACTATCAGCTTGACAATTTTGAATTAAAAACATAGTTGTTGTTCCTAAAAATATGCCTGTTTGTATGAATTGCTTGTTGGATTTTTGCTGTTCACAGCTTTTTTGCCAGGTAAAACTTACTTCATTTTTTCTCCCTCTTTTCTCTGAAACAGGATATAGCTGATCCTTTTTTTGCTTATTGTAAACAGCATGCAGACAGGTTAGACAGAAAGTGGAAGCGGAAGAACTACCTGGCATTGCAGTCATACTGCAAAATGTCCTTGCAGGAAAGAGAGAAGCAGCTCTCACCAGAAGCCCAGGTATTGTGTTYACCCCACAGCTGCATCTGTGTTCAGCATCTCTGTTAAACAACAAGGAAGTGAAGGAGATGGAATTGTTACAGCTGGAAATGAAATGTGGACTATATTGATAGCATGTAGTCAGTTAACAYAGCAGTGAATTATCTTTTGGTTTTAGTCTCTAAAACACAACCCCCCAGTAAACTTAATTACCAAAAAGGATATCTGTGCTCGTCTGAATTGAAAAAATACTTGTTTGTGTATATAGCAAAAAGTTTGTAATTTTTCATTCTAATTCATAGTAATTTTTAAAATGATTTCTTCAAAATTCTTGGCAAAAAATACATTTAGACAATATATTAGGCATGTCTCTGTTTTTGTGTTCAGTAAAAGTCTCTTTTTTTTTTCTCTAAATGGTAGTGTATTAGTGTTTGTCCTGTTAATGAAAAAAAGATGTTTCCAAAGCTTTTTGAAGATTCAGAAAGGATGAAATACAGACCATAATGAAAATTGATTAGACTGTCTTTTACTGCATTCTACATTCGATTAAAAAGGAGAGCAGACTCGCTGTATGAGTGTACTTTTCTATATGTATGCACATGCAGAGGTTCATTTCCATAGGCTTTAAGGCAAAAGTGTGCTATATAGAGGTGAAGCTAACATCACTAAATAGATTAGGCCGTCTACTTAGTTGATACTATGAAAATGAATTTTTTGGTACACAGTTTCAGAGGTGAAAAAAATGAATGGGTATTCAGGACTACAAGGTACTTGAGCTTATAGTCTGTGATTCAAAAGAGAAAAACTCTTTGAGGAGTATCRTATATAAAGTTTTCTAAAGACTGTTATGGATTGTTGGAAAATATTCTGTTTTAGAATATTTTATTTGTATCAGTAAAAAAAATGTACAGTGCTCCTTTATGAGTAAAGTGTKTACTTGAAAATTGCTTAAATCCACATTTGTAGTTTAGTTTTTGATTTAGACAACTCATGCTAATTTGCCTTGGCTATTTCTGGGTTGCTGCTCTGAGCACATAGTTTTGTGACATCTTAAATGACTTCAGGGGGTTCAGACTGAGCACCTAATCAGTGAGTACGAGTCTTGGCTGAGGGAGTTTCCAGCCACCCTTGTTGGTATGGCCAGCTGTAGGTGGATGTTGGCCACTGTGGGCTCAAGAAAAAAGCCCTTGGGGATAACGTTTGTCATGTTTCTTAGTCATTACGTTCAATAAGTGGTATTTTGTGTTGTGGTATTTGTGTATTGTTGTGTAAGTGGTATTTTGTGTTGTGTCTATAATACTGCCTTTGGCAATGCTGTGTGTGCTCCAAGATGTTTCTTAAACATAGCACCTATACGTGTGCTTACCTTTTGGTTACAAGTATCTCTCACCCTTCATTGGGCAATTGGATTAGTTTAGCTTTGTCGTTATAAGGATAGTCTTATCCTTAGATAAGGATAAAGATCAGGACTTAGGATAGTCTACCAGAGTTTTACTTCTGGAGGCATGTGTTCCGGTGTCATTTTCTGCCAAAATTGCCACTACATAGATTTCCTGCAAGAAAATATTTTTGGTATGCTTATAGCAACTTTGATTTTCTGAAGTTGCATCCAGATGGTCACAAGTATACAGATGTCATCAGCAATATATACTGTGAGCTTCTCTTGGCTTTTTCACTTCTGTTTCCATTGTATTTTTTAAATATTATGAGCAGTTAAAACTTTAGAAAGAGATACGGCATTGCAAAAAGGAGTACCTGGAAGAGGACAAACATGGCAAAAATGCCATTCACAAACTTTAAAACTATGTGATCGGTAAGAGTATATATAAATACATTTTGATAGGTCAGCCAGAGTTCCTCTCAGTTGTGAATTTTCATGAACCAAATTATTACTGTTAGGTTTATCTGAAAGCTAGCAGTCATCATTATTAATTTCATTGATGGACTAGTCTTATCAATAATCTTGTGAATATTTTTCCAGTTCAATTCTAAAACCCAGTTAAAGGATGATGCTACTTAGATATGAAATTTGAATTAAAATCTAATGTCTGTATCATTATCTCTTTCTTGAGTCAGAGTTCCAGAATGACGGTGCAGTTTTTTAAAAAGAAATTAAAATGCAGATGTGTTCCAAAAGGATGTAACTCAAAAATGGTTTTGAATTGTTGTCCTTTTCCTAATCCATGAAATTTCTTGCAGGCTCGAATCAATGCGAGGCTACAGCAGTATCGTGCCAAGGCAGAGCTGGCTCGGACCACCCGGCCTCAGGCCTGGGTCCCCAGGGAGAAGCTGCCGCGTCCCCTGACCAGCAGCGCCTCAGCCATTCGAAAGCTCATGCGCAAGGCAGAGCTAATGGGCATTAGCACGGACATCTTCCCAGTGGACACTTCGGACACCAATTCCAGTGTTGATGGAAGAAGAAAACATAAGCAACCAGCTCTCACTGCTGATTTTGTGAATTACTACCTTGGTAAGGATCAACATTTCTTACTGTTCCTTTTAATGAAAGCATCACCGTTTTGCTGGGTTTGTACTGTGCTAATTTATTGGCCTTTTTCCTATCCTTCATTTGCATTTCTTTGTTACTAGTAGATAAACATGAACTATGGCTTGGAGTTCAGGTATATCATTGGTCAATATCACAATTTAAAAAAACGAGTTAGTAATGTTTCTAAGGAAGTTTTATGAAGCTTCCTCAGAAAGAAAATCCTTAGAAAGAAAGAACTTCCGTAGAAAGAAAATCCTCCATATAAACAGGAGGGAGTGTTTTTGCTAAGAAAGGAATGGAAGGTTAAGTACACTTTGACATCCCTGTTTTTCTTATGCTTTCTCTTTCTGTGTGAAACAGCATTCTTTTGTCTTTGGGTCTATTTGGGTCTATTTGATGAGCAAAGCTCATCATTTGAATAACCAGCCTGTTGTAGGTTTCCATATGCAGAAAAAAATGTTATGAATGACTTTTTATTCTACTCAGTCAGTACAGTTTGCGCGCCTGTGTTATCGTTACACTTTACATTTCACTGCCTCATTCTTTCCACTATGTAAAACTTGAAAATACAGTCTAGGCTAGAAAATAATGAAATTTTCTTTTAAATAGAGAGAAATATGCGCATGATTCAAATCCAGGAGAATATGGCTGAACAGAAGAATATCAAGGATAAATTAGAAAATGAGCAGGAAAAGCTCCATGTGGAATATAATAAGGTGAATAAAAAAGAACATATAAAGCCTGCATAGTGTTTTAATATTGCTTTTCTTAGATAGTATTTTGCTTTCCAAACAAAAGACTTATGAAGATATGTAAAGTTCTGATGTGAATAGAGAAATTTAATTAATTTGTGTAGATACTTGTAGTAATCTTGCAGCTTAAGTAGTGTAGTCAAGATAATGCCATATTTTTCTTTTGCTTTCGGATTTTATTTATGGAACCTTATTTTCATGATGAATATTTTAGATCTTCTTTACCAAACAGATGGCTGCCCMAATTTTCATCTTGGTTCTATTAAACTGCTAAATGATTGCATTGATCACAGCTAGATTGACAGGAGTTGCATTGTCTTTTAATCCCCTCCCAAAAGTAAAGCATATATAGATATATGCTATGGATAAGAGAGCAAGTAACTTTTATTAAACAGGCTGTTTGTTTCTTTATTTTAACTTTTCAGCTGTGTGAATCCTTGGAAGAACTACAAAATATGAATGGAAAACTACGAAATGAAGGGCAAGGAATTTGGGCCCTGATGGGTAGAATCATTGGACAGGTTGGTTTCTTTCCCTTTATAATTTCTATGTAGACCTGGTGTTCAAACAACAGGCTTTTTTTATGTTTCAGGTGGCGACTTCTATGGCCGAATAAATTGATTTAATCAGGCCCAGGCTGTACTCTGGGCATAATGATTTCTGACAAATACATCTAGAATTCTGAAAAACCACCTAGTGGGAACCCATAGTTTAATTTTGTCATTGTAATAGGGATTTTGTTTGCAGCATCCTTTCATTTGCTGTAACTGATTGACCTGTCATTTGTGATGAAGCTTATTGTGAAGCACGAGTTAATCATACTGTTTTCGTTTCCTCGTTATCCTTACTTGAAGTAAACTTCACATGGTGTGATAACTAAATGCCTTATATAAAATATACATCTTTAAAACTACACTATGTATTTGACAGCTTTTAACTGGGTGGAGAAGAATGGTTTTGTAGAAATGGACATAGATATCTAGGAAAAGGGAAAGTTTGAACTGCTTCCTTTTGTCAGAGGACAACTCTGTTGCCATTGATGTACATGGAGAAAAGAGAGAAAGGCAGTTCATTGCATGCATCTGTATGTGACTTATTCTTACCATGAATGCTTTTAGTCTTGTGTCTTTTATGTCCAAGGCCTTATATGGCAATGGATAACTTAGCTATCAAAAGAGATTGAAATGATTTCTGGTCATGATTTTAATGAAGAAACTGCTCATTATAAAAATGCACACAATATTTAATTGGGTCATAATTTTGCGATGCCCTTTGGTCTTGCTATGTTTGTACTGTTCAGAAGGCTACTCCTTCTTTATGCATAAATGCGTAAATGCATAAAGAAGTTCTTAAAGTGTGCATTTTTTTCTGATTCTGTTTGTCAGCCTCTCTTTTGTACTTCTGAGGAAGGTTTCTTATATGACTTATCCCTTGAATAGAGATTTTATTTGTCAAGGCATCTGAAAAGAGAAGAAGTACCCACAAGAAATAGATGTCCTGGTGCAAATGTCACTTAAAAAAAAACAAAAAGGAAAGGAAAAAAAAAGGGAAGAAATAATTTAGTAGAATTCATTTGCACAGCTTGCATGACATTTTCTCTCCAGTTGGCYGAACAGATGCAGACCCATGGGGCTGCTGAGAAATGATTTTGATAGATGTTTACCGTCTGAGAAGCTAGCATACTGCAGATTAGTAGAAACCCAAAGAGAATCTTGTCTGCTTTCTGGAGAGTTTGGTCAAATAAGATAATTTTTGTAATTAACCTATGGAGCACCAACGTACTAGGGATGTTGGGGAAAAACTGCCTTAGTGTTCTGTTGGTTTCAGTTAATATGCCTTTTCTTTTTTCAGCTTTCTAGATGGCCTGACCTCGTCCTTGTCTGTGTTTTTTGAAGCGCAAATAGGAAGTTTAAAAACTAACATTCCAGCATGTGATCTCATTTTATTAAATTCAAAAATGATTATAACACTGCTGTATGCTAGTCTCATTTTGTAACATAAATATAATTAGTGTTTCTTGTCTGTAAAATAGGTAGCTTAGCAATTTCTTGCTGATAATTTGGGCATGATCAAACTCATTCCCCATACACTGAGATTAGTGTGCTCTAAATGTTCCCAAGTTTAAGATCTGCTGCATTTGTTCAAATCCAACAGAAATTGAACATACCAGCAATTTTACGTGCCCCAAAAGAAAGAAAACCGAGTAAAAAGGAAGGAGGAACACAAAAGACATCTACACTTCCAACTGTACTTTATAGGCAAGTAATGAACTTGACAGAATAGGCATGTATTTAATGACATAAATGACATGACATGATATGAATGACAGAACAGAAAAGTATGTAATGAAGTTAAAATCAGTTTCAAAAAGTGTTAAGAGAAAATGATTTACTACAGTTTTGATTAATGAAAAGGGTAGAGTCCTCTCTACATGTCACTTCTGTAGGCAAGTCAGTTCTTTACTTAGGCACACATCAATAAGCTTGTTTTGTTCTTAATGTGATAGCAGTGATTTAAAAACAAATGTAACTACAGGTGAAATGGAATTTTTTTTTGATGTGAAAAAATGTAGCTGATCATCTTGTCTTTTGAATGGAATCATCTGTGTTAATTTTGCTGCTGTTTAGTCACAGTAGCTGGGTGTGTAAAATGCTTGTCATATAAGAATTTTTACTTTTTGCTCAATTCATGGGCCAAAAAATGCTTTTGGATAACTTGTTTTTTATATATCCTTACACTTCCGAGAGAATTAAATTTTAATTCATTCTGTCAACTTCTCTCTCCTGTAAGTTGTGAACCTACTTACTGGTCTTGCTTATCTTTAATGGTGACACATATACTAGGAACAGACAGGGCACGTCTTTGCAACTTAACATCTTGGATCCTTATTCTTTGCCTCAGCTGAGAAATCTGTGGCTCTTCCAGAGCCAGTAGGAAGCCACCTGGCCACAGCAGTGGCTGGGCAGTGTCTTGCCCAGCTAGCAGGTTAAACACAGTAAATGGGTTACACAGGTAAAAGGAAATACTAGCAAATGTTCTTGAGTGGTGGAAATGTGGAGAGCATGGGAGTAGGCTGAGGATCAGTGAATTTAAACACAGACAAAACAAGTGCTTCCTACTGGAAGTCATGCTTTTCTAGTTCTGTTGCGTGCAAATCCAGTCATTAAGTTCCTCACATCTTATTATACAATTAACAAGCATGTATCTCTTTGAAATAGCCAAACTAAATTGGCAATTCTGGTAAATAACAATAATAAAAAAAGATACTAAATTTCTTAGGAGCTGATGCATTGTCCAATATAATAGCAATATAGATCTGTTTCAGGGTATTTGCTTTGTTAAAATAAACACATGAATAAGCACATACATTTGAATGGCAAAACTTTTTGGAAAAAAAAAACGCCATCTCTCACTATATAGAAATTCCTTAAAAAGTAATTGTCTAGTTAAATGACAAACTTAAGATTATATTTTTTTTGAAAGGGGGAGATATGTTGGGATGTATTCTTTATTCTTTGTTAATTCAAATGTAATTACAATGCTTTTCTGCTACCTACATTAAAAGTTGTGGAATTTGCAAGAAGAACCATGATCAACACCTCCTGCTACTGTGTGATACTTGCAAACTCCATTATCATCTTGGCTGCCTGGACCCTCCTCTTACAAGAATGCCAAGGAAGACCAAGAACAGTTATTGGTAAGAATGCTGTTACTCTATGATCTCATGTCATCTCTGTGCTTCAAGTAAGACTTGAAATGACGAGGCTTGCACATTTTAAATGCTTTGGCATTGCTAATATTGTCTGATCTGGATTATTTTATTTTCAGATTGAACAGCAGTGAGGTTTTAAGGTTAAAAATAAGGTTTCTCTTTAATAGCCACCTCAGATTATAGGGGTTTAGTTTGCCTTTATGAAATGAAAGACTTGTTAATCTGTTTACTTTAGGGTCTAGATATGCAACTTTTCTATGCAGACCTTTAATAAAAATGATTAGGCCTGGAAATCTTGTAACAAATAAACCCATTAGCTGCAATATTGCTTCTTATGTTTCCAATCTGCAAAGACAAAAGCACGTGTGTAACTGTGCTTCCAGGATTTAGATTCCCACAAAAGTAAAATGGTTTTTGTGCCAATGGAGCAGAACAAAAGGCAAGTGATACCATGGAGAACTGACAATATGGTAGAGGTGATAAATTCTAAATCATCATAAAACCAGTTTGCCTCTGTGTTGTGTTAGCATTTGATGAGTTTCTAAGCTGTCTTGAAACATGTTAATAAAGTAATAGTTTTTGTCAGGCAAGAAACTAGTTTATACTAGGAGTTGCAATCTCCCTAACTGAATGTTAAGGTACCAAATCAAAACATTACAAGAATTCATTTTAAAAATACTTAAAACACTTTTGTCAACAAAAGATTCTATTTATCTTCCTGTGTAACTCTTGATTTTTTTTTCTTTTTTTTTTTTTTTTAAAGCTTTCAAAAAGCTTTCATAACAAAGCGATCTTTTTGGGTAATTTTAACAATTGTTTACACATAGATGATACGCGAAACAGCAAGTTCTTTTTTTAAGATGACAGAATCTGAATTTTGTCCTGTAAATTAGTTGATTAAATTAGTAGAGATTTCTCTTAAAAGTTGAAAAACTAGGAAAGTTTTTTGTCGTAATTAATATCCCGAGTCTAATATTATAGTCTGTGGTTTGAACTTTTAATTAGTTCATGGGGGTTCGAAATCTTTGTTTAATTATAAAGTTACAACATAGGCATCTTACATGGAAGTATTTTTTTTCTGCCTTTTTAGCCAAGTTGAAGAGGCTCATTGAAAGCCATCAGTCCAAAGGATGGTCTCAGTAGGTGTTGATGCAGAATAGGTCAGGTCAGGTACTAAGTGGCTTTATTTCAAAGTTCTGACTTATCTTTGCTGTGAATTTAATGCTTCAGTTATACCTCTGATCACAAACTTAGCTTTCACTTTTAATTAGTTAAGGCATGTTCTGGGGTATGAGGTGATAGCAGGCAAACTGAGCTGTATTGATTACATTCCTTTCATCATCAGCCATTCCTTTAAATGTTCTTTTCAGGGTCAGTGGAGAACGTACAGGACCTTTATCTAAGTTTGACTTTAACAGTTTCCTCTCCCTCCGTCTACTATTTTGGATCTATTTTTAATCTTTTGATTAAGCCACGAAGAAGAAGTACAATATTATTTTTTTGTATAGGGATCAGGTGCTTTTCAGATATTTGTATAGTATAAAATGTGAGTTACGCAAAAAAAAAGTGAGTAAAGGGGTAAAGCAGCAGAAAGTTGCTCAAAATGTTAAGCAGGCTGGAACATCTGTTTTAAAGTGCTGATTTTAATCCTATTTTAAGGCCCTAAGCATGGAACAGTTAAACATAATTGGTACTTGATTTTGGATTATTTTTGATAATAATTTACAAATGTTTATTAACTTTGGTAGGTAGTGTCATATACTTTATCAGTACCTATTTACTTAAATGTTATGTGGGTAAATATGGCTGTTCTGTGTGCTTGGTGTTCTATAGCATGTTTAAGGATGAAGAATAATTCAGTTCATGATGCTTCATCAGATGAATTAATACTTCATTCTTTTGTGTGTTTGGTGCTTAGCATTTGATAGTGATTAGAATTGAAATATATAAATCATAGATGTTAAAATTGCTTTAAAAAACTTATACATATTGGTAAGTTTTTTTACATTTATAAAGACTAATTAAATAATGCACAAATTTATTAATGAATTTATTATTATTTCTAAATATGAGAAAGAGGTAGTGTTTAGATTTATCAAATCTTGATAAGATTTTAGAGAGAGAAAGTAGCATTTGCTCATATCAAAGTTACCAGAATCTGGTTCCAGGTGCTTAAAACAGAGAATTTTCACAGTTTAACAGCCAGAAATTTTCTTGCAGTGCAACATCTCTACATCTTACCTTTACATCTACATTTAAAAAATACACTTACTGTATTAAAGTAATTTAAAGCCCATCCTCATGTCAGATTGGCTTACTTTTGAAAGAAGATCATCTCATGACTATTTTGGGTCAAACTGGGAAATTTTTTATTTTTATCTGCTTTGATTTGGTGTTCCCAAAGTACACTTTCCTAGAGTGAAGTGCTATGGCATGCTTTTATTTAATAATTTGCAAGTGTCTAGCTGTTTAGAAATGCTTCTGATTAAACCCTAAATACTCATTTGACTCATGTATTTTCAGAAAAGTAGGTCATGTCATTTTCTCTGACAGCTGGTGCATTTATGTCCTTTCCTGTTCTGGACAGAATGGGAACAACAGCACAAGTGTTGACAGAAATTACAATAAATCAAAAGCTGATTGTTAAATATTGGTGTTTCTTTGAGAAAATATTTGGTGGCTATCAGCAGGGACCAGTTGAAATCCGAACTGAAATCCAAACACCGAGAGAGAGAGACAGCCTTTGCCTGGCGCATGAAAAGCTGGGAACTGAGGCTAACTAAGCAAGGACTAGGGATTATGTTAGGCTTGGTTGTGTGTGTTTTCTTTCTCAGGGCCACACAGAATATTTTGATGGTAACCCTGCTGTGTAGAGTGATGTTGTATAGTATTGGCACGGAACAGGAAGTAAGCTTTGCAGTCCCTCATAGTAACCTGTGTTATTCAAAACTTGCTTGATTTATTCAAATTTCTTAAAGTTAAGGCTCATCTCTTCCAGTGTAAGCTGGAAAGCTTAAGAAGTTTTCATTCTTTGCTAAAATTCCAAGACATGGTTTATCACAGAGTGTAGACAAGCTAGACAGACTAGGTCTGTAAAAAGAATCCAAACTCTAAAAATGACTAATAACTGAATAATTTTTGCTATCTAAATAGCATGGGTAGATTTTTTTTTTTTTTTAATTGAAACATAGTCCTGTTCATTTAACACAAGACTTAAATTTCCTATTTTAAACTTCTTTAATGCAAAAAATCCTGGTTTCTTGTGATTCCTGTTCATGTCCAATATGACTATAAGAGTGGCTGTCATCTTGTTCAGGTTGAGTCTTTTAATTTTCATCTCACAAGCCACTCTCAGTATATTTAACATAACACAATTAAGCCATTCAAATTCTTCTTAATATGTTAATTGAATAAGGCTTCAAAATTTTCCAACTTTTTATAGCAGTGATGTGTTTTAAAATCTTCATATGTTACCTATTTTGCCATCTCATGTAGCAAAGAAACTGAGATGCTTGTGTGATTATTAAAACATTAAAATGAAAACTAGATTTGTGTTAAGATTATTAGTGTGTTTGCTTGGAGTATCTCTTCCCATCATCATTTCACATATTTTCATGTACCAAGATCAACCGCATTTTGATTTTTTTGATGTGTAAAGCTGCAGCCTAAGAAATTATTATAATTTCACCGTCACTGGGGGGAAGCCGAGAGGTTTTCTCATTTCTGCTTTCATAAAAAAACAAGCAGCTGCCTTCTTCTCCCCGCCTTTTCCACGCCAGGATTAGATCCTCGGTCTTTTGCTTTGTCAGCCAGACTGGTCTGCCTAGCAGACCCCACTGACTGACGTTGTTTTCCAACATGGCCAGAAAAGAGCTGAGCCTATCCTGTGGAGATCAGTAGCTTGTAAGAATTGTCTTGTCTTAGGAACTTACTTACTGCAGGGAACTAGAAATAGATCAATACATGTTTTTTTATATATCTCCTTAAAAAACAAATTTGCCACTTCATTTATATATATTTTTAATGTGCATCTATTTTAGTGCTAATTAAAGGCAGAATGTTATTTAGAATTTGTCGAGCTGATGCTATAAAAAGACCATTTCAATACAGGATATAGTGATGATTGGAATCGGAAAGAATCCGTAGCTCGGTAAATTGACAACGTAACATAAGAAGGAATTTTAAAACAGCTGATATCACTAGTATCAGTTAGTTTACTTTTCATGTTTCAGGTTAACATCTACGTTTATGAACTTACATAAGGTTAACTTACGCTGCAGATGAGAATACTTTCAGATGACTTCCCCTTATGTTAATTCTTTCTTGGATCTTGTTAATAGCATACAGTAGGGTATACACTTCTGAAGTCCTTATTGTGAATTTGTAGTTTTTAAGAAATTCAATAAGATGTGTTTTCTTTTCAACTCACTGTTCAAAGCTTGTTAATAAACCATTTGCAGCCTCTGTGTGTCTCTGTTTCTTGAACATTTTGTTTTATATTTAAAACCTCCCTGCCTTCCTCAGTAGACTTTAAAATTGATTTTCATAACAGACCTTTCTTGCAAATGCCTGCCACTAAAGAACTCTTTCAGGAGAATGAATTCTGTGCTCTGTTGTTGTGAAGATTAAAGTGCAGCAGCAGTTACGATAATGAAATGGATTTCAGATCAGAGGACACCGTTAGAAGTCGGGCTGTGACTAGGAATACAGATGGTGAAATGAGGTGCATCTTTTGTGAAGTTTAAATATTGTTTTCAAAGTCTGGGGTTTCAGAGTTTAAGTACTGTCAGAAAAATGCCAACAATAAAAAAAGGCTTTTTGTTTGGTTAGTTGCTTAAAATACTGTGTGTTTATGAAGTGTCTTTAGATGGCATGGAGTTTACTGGCTTTTACGGATTTATTTTAACCCAAACACCCATTTTCTGCTTCAGAATGTTTCTTTTTCTGCTTTTGTGACTGCCATTTTCAATATAAAATCTTTCACTTTGCAGGCAGTGCTCAGAGTGTGACCAGGCAGGTAGCAGTGACATGGAAGCTGATATTGCCATGGAAACCTTACCAGATGGGACCAAAAGATCAAGGAGGCAGATTAAGGAACCAGTCAAATTTGTTCCACAGGACCTGCCACCTGAACCGAAGAAGATTCCAATCAGGAACACGGTAAATAACAGCAGAGTTGTTTCGCAGCTCATATTCATAATAGTTTTCTTTTAAGATGACAAATATTGGGGGAATTTTGAACTGGAAGATTCAGTTAGTGTGAAATGCCTTTTTTATTATAAATTTATTTTCCTGTGTTTAATGCTTTACTACTTCTCTTACTACTTCTGCTTTGCTAATATAGGTATTAATGTAATTGATAATTTAGGTATTGTTCATTTCCTATATATAAGCACCGTATTGAGTGATGGCACATTCTGTGACAATCATAAACCCCCAGTATATCAGTTTGTTGCTTAGCTTTCCTACTCTTGTACTATTCATTTACTGCTGGATAGTTGGGGTGAGAAGAGCTCGTGTGTCTTGTATTGATGTTATGCATAGAATCTTTTTTGTCCTTGAAAACAGATCTTTTATTGATCATTGCATTCTGTGGTTTTTTTTCCTGCTGCTTTAGTCCTTACAATTTTGCTCTTCCACTTGCCTGTAAGATAGGATGTTTTATGGGGATATTGTCACATCACACAAAATCTGCATGAATGTTAAAAGAATTTTTAGATCGGTTCAGGGAAGGAGTAATGTTTGCAAGACACTTCGGTCATGTATAATAATTATACATAATCTGTGATTCATCTTCCAAGATACATCTTAGTATTAGAAAGTACTTGAGCCCTCTCACTTTAGGGGTAGCCATACTTCATCTTTGATGCAGCACAACTTTATTTTCCTCAAATGGCTTTGTAGCCATTTTATGCGGAAATAGAGGATACCGTCCTTAACTCTTCTAGCTATACAGTGATGGGATTAGGCAGGTATTTTCCTGGTCTACCTGGAATATACCTGTCAGGTATTAAGTTTAAACTTAAGCTTTAATTGAGACTCACTTTATTTGGAATGTTTGAGCAGCAGCTTTGGTTCACCTTATTTATTTATTTTTCTCCTGGACTATGTCTAGGAAGAGCTTTTAATGGTGTCTCAAACAGAAATAATTGATTAACTCCAACTTTTAAGAATATAAGTAAATCCTAATGAATATGAATCATGATTATGAATAATAAAGAGCCACTGTATAAGGGGAAGATACTTTTTCATGTTCTCAATGCATAGATATTCACATCCATTAACTGACTGATTTATCTTCCTGTTTACACAGGAAAAAAGTGTATATACAATGTTTATGTTTACTGAATCCTTTCTGTCTTTACTACTTTCCATTCTTGGTGCTTTCTGGCTCTCTTTTCCCCCATCCAGTAGTCAAATTAGGATGGACAAGGATTCATAATTACAGGAGGGACAGCTGAAGTTTTTCAGGAAAAATGTTCATAGAAGTAATAGATAAAAGAGTGTTAAAAAAATGTGGTATGGAAATCTGTAGAAGCCAGTGGTTAATTATCAACTTCTCTTGTAATAACTGTGGAATTTCTTCTGCACTAAAAGTAGAGAAGTGCAGTTGTCCTGAGGTTTTGCCTTCACCCTGTGGCACTGATTCGACGTATGGCTAACCTGACATCTCATGTATTAGAGTGTTTGTACACCTAGCAAAACATGACATAGCGATTAAATGTACTTTGAATGCACTAATATGTTGGTGCAGCATTGCACTGTGGAAGAAAACTGCTGCCTGTCTCAGGCATTTTTTTCTTCCTCTGCTTACATTTTCAGTCTGCATAGTTGCAAGATTGTGCCTATGGTGTCCACTGTCTGTTTTGAGGTACCTCTGTTAAAGATACCTTCAGTGTTTTAACTTTCCTGTGGTTGTGGGGCATTTACTCTTAGTATTTTCCACCTGTCTATAGGCAAGGTTCATGCCCACCTTTTCTGCTGGATTTCTTTCTGTCAGCTAGGCTCTTCTGTGCTTGCAGAATACATGGGCTATGTGGGCTGTATAACCAGATGAAGCCAGCAGAGCTCTGAAAACTTGGTAGACTCTTCTGGGCTGTATGGGATTCCCTCTCTCTTTATTTTGAACCTATAGAAACATAAACTTGTGGAAGGGCATAAGTGAAGGGGGCCTCTTCCCATTATAACGAATCCCAGAGTTTATGTATTTTTTTACTGCATGAGTGCTTGCATTACTTGCCCTTATGTTTTGCAAGATGGTTTGAGGATTTGGATTAAAATGTGATATATTTTGCTTTGTTATTCTATATATTTTTTGTGTTTTTTTTTTTCCATATTTAATGTATCTTGAAACAATGACATCCGAATACAGCGACTTTTTAGGTTTTCAGAATGTGCTACAAATAGATATAATCCTTCTTTCTTGACCAGASTAACCTGATTTTGCATATTCTGATATGTTTCAGTCATTTACTACACAGCTATTAGGAAATGAAAAAAATATATACCTTAATTATTTATTGGTAGATATGCAGAATATTGAACACTTATATCCACTTCCTGCAAGAAGTGCTAATTATGACTACAACATTTTTGTAAGATTGTGGTGCTGTCAAACTCCAAAACTTCAGTCTCTACCACTTTGTGATTTCCTTGCATTAAATGTAAAACTAGTGAGATACATAAATATATGTAGACATCTGTGGAAAAAAAAATATTCTATAAACTTAATTCCTTTGAGCTTTTTCTCTTCTTAAGTCTCTTAACTATTCCATGTTACATTTGTCTGAAGATTCTTTTTAAACAGAAATTTAGAAGGATCCTCTCTGCTTGAAGATATTCTCTGCTTTTCTTCTTAGGACCTGTATTACTCAATTCCTAATTCCCTCTAATCTTGCATCAGAGCAGTGGTGGCCAGAGGACTGTGGYAATCAAAGAATACTACAAAGTTTACCACAACTTCGAAGTGATATCAGGGACTCGATTTCCCTCCAGAATTGTGATTATGAGAGAAGCAGATAAAACAGAAGCAGATTATTCAAAGTCAGGACCCTATTCCTTTCTTGTGCAGTTCTCTACATTAGTTGTCTGTCAGGTCTATGCTTTGTATCCAAAAACTGTGAATGCACTGTAGTATTTTAGTCTCAGCTTCCAAATAGTTTAGCAGATACTTATATCAAGAAAAGCAACTGTTTTCAAGAAAATGAGGGGCTAGGCAGAAAATCCTGTTGTATTGATTATATTGTTTTCCAATGCAGAGAGAATACCTAGCATGTCATACTTTCAAATGTAAATTAAGTTTACAAGGAGCCTCCTCAGATATTAGTCTGTCCAAGAATGATCACATAAATATATGCCTAAATGCCCAAATGTAAATGTAATTTATCAGAATTGTGCTCTGAGTTTGGGTCTATACAAATTAATTAGTATAAGCAGTCTGAACTTTAGGCCTCTGGATTGTCTGTTGTTTAAAGGTTGTGTTTGTGGACAGAATTTCATGTATTGTTCATGCATATATATTTTGAGGCATGTTTAATAATTCTTAAACAGTATTCTCAGCTTCAATTGAACTTGCCTTTAAATGATCTCTAAGCTCTATAGTCATTCTTTACAATTTCAATACTTCTATATAGTTAATAAATCATAGTATTTCTACTGTTAATTAAATTTAGAGTAGCAGTAGCTAAGTTGCATGAAACAGATTTCTAAAATCATACAGAATCATGGAATGGTTGAGGGTTGGAAGGGACCTCTAGAGATCATCTAGTCCAACCTTAACTGCTCAAGCAAGGACACCTAGAGCATGCACCACATGGTCAAACCCAGATGGGTCTTGGATCCTTTTTATATTTCTTAAAAACATAAAAAATCAAAATAAGCTAACTGCTGCAGTCCACTGAAAAAATTCTTCACTATATTTTATTTATTTAAAAATTTCATGACAGATGTTTTATGTCCTGAATGCAATAGGGAAGATGGTGTCTTCTGGAAGTGTAGCAATATTTCAATAAGAAAAGCCATGTACATGCACAGCTGCTAAAGCACGACTGTGGAGCTCACGCTAGCTGTGTGCTGAAAGAAGAGATTAAGGCTTTTTTTCCTGTAATTCTGGCACATCCGTTCAAATAAAGTAAATTCTGTGTTATTGCACTCTCCAACAAATGTTTTCCAGTCATGGAGCTTTAAATAAGCATATGAGAGGGTCATACCTGTTTTGCAAGAAGGCTGTTTTTGATTTGAAAAGAAAATATCTATCCTGTACTATAATGAAGAGGAAAGCTTTTGCTCACGGCCTTTTGTGCATTGAAGAGTTTGCTGGGTGATTTTAAATACAAACATCTGATCATCTCATCTCAAAAACTTAAATTTTGTTATCTAAAAAATGTCAAAATAACATCTTTTCTCTGTATAAAATGCAGAAGAACAGACAAAACCTTCTCTGTATAGCCATAAAAAGTCTGTGTTGTAAGGAAGAAAAGTATTTTACTAGCTAGCAGTGTGCTGTTCACTCTTTGGAACATGGAGTAAAGCAAGTCTGTGCCTGGGGAGCTATTTTCTAAGAAGATTAGTTTAAAAAAATGTAGACAAAGCACCTGCAAATTGTCTTTGACACAGGGAGCTTTTGTGAATCTTGCTTTTGCTTTATAAATAACATTACTTAAATTAATATTTCTTTTGTTTGAAGTAGGGAAGGAGATGAGTGACTTTATTTTTGTAAGCATATTAAAAGATAAACAAGATTGCTATCTTGTATTTAATTGCAGCATTTTTACCCAAGCTTTTTCCATACATCCGTTGTGTGACTTAATTATATGATATCGTAGATGCAAGTTTTGAATAAAGAACAGCTAAAGAAGGAAAACAGGAAACATGTTCCATTTGCAGTGTAAGTACCAGTGCTTTGTGAAGACAGCACATAATTTAAAAACATTCTAATTTATACTTATCAGTCTTCACATTAATTAACATTGTCAGTAATTGGTCAGCTCGTTTAAATCTGACTTCTAAATGAATGCCTGAAAGAAAGACCTTTTAAGTTAACTCTCTAATAGTGATCTTCGACATGTGCAACTTAAAGTCATTGCTGTCAACTGATAGTTAATGATCCAGACTAAAATAATCACAAAACCTCAGTGTTAAGAAACTTAACGTATTTGTTA